AATCTAAGTCCTAGACTGTCCTACACGAACCCTGCGGAAGATCCCAACATCTATCTGGCTCACTCGACAATTGCAGCAGCCCACAAGGCTCCAAACCAAGCCGTGCAATAAAGGGGCCTGAACATCAAGATTTAGTAAGAATGTCCTTGTACACACGTATGTTTGTGTACATATATTCAGATAGAGAGAGGGCTAGACACGTATATATATATATATATATATATATATATATATTTGTATATATTTGTATACATCCCTGTGCGGTCCCAACGCAAAGGCCCCCAGACCCCAGACCAAACCGTATAAAGGCTCATAGCATCTTATCTTACGTCAGATACCACTGGACCCAATCCTGCACCCCCCAAAGTATGTAGAATAACAGCCGTTTTTGGTATTGGGCCATTCTTTTACCTACTTTGGGGGGGGGTTAGGTTTTTTAAAAAACCTAGAACCTATGGTTTTTTAAAAAAAACCTATGTCTTCCAAAATCGAGATCCCCAACCCAGAAAGCCTTGACAGTCGAAGCCCCTTAGTTCAGGAGCTCCGCCCACATCCTAAACCCCACCTTAACCCTGAAACCCTAAACCCTAAAGCCCTAAAACCCTAAAGCCCTAAAACCCTTAACCCTAAAACCCTAAGCCCTAAAACCCTAAACCCTACCTTAACCCGGAATGACCTACCTTTTTAAAGGCTTACATGAAGAAATCATAATAGTAACCCTGAAAAGGTAGGTTCTTCAGGGTGAAGGTTAACCTTACCCGAACTTGGAAGGAAAACTTCCGCGCTGCTCGAGACCAACTGCTAGATAAGTACCTCTCCTGCGATGAGCCTCGTCCAAGAGGGTTTGGAGGCTTACCCCTAAGGGTCCATGTACCCCTTTGTATATACATTGGCCTTAGAGTACAGTAGTCCCTATGTAGGTACTTTAGGGCCAAAGCAAATGCTTTGTGGGTACATGTACCCTCAGGGTTGGAGTCGAGGATCGGGAGTGTGAAGGTTTTGAGTCTTCAAGGGGGTTCTTAGTGTTTTCAAAACCCTAAACCCGACAGTCGCAGTTCATCGCACCGCGAAGTCTTCAACATAAGTGAGGGCGGCCGGACCGCCAAGCCCGCGGAGGTAGTATAAAACTGATGCTTCAAATGCTCACATGTCTCAAAGCTATAATTTTTAGACATGCGAGAATTGTAAGCAGACTTGGCGGCCTGGTCCGGCTCGGTGCAACCCTTGGGAATCTCAAAGGTTCGACTCGAATTGTTCTGTCCTATTCAGACCCCAAAGGCTCCATGTACCTTTATAGTAAATACTTAAGCCTTAAAGGGGACCCTATTTTGGTACTTTAGGTACTTTAAGGCCTAAGTATCTACTATATGGGTACAAGGAGCCTTTGGGGAAGGATTGAACCGGGGACGGAGAGAGAAGTCTCAAGAACAAGTACAATGTCCCCTGACAGCCCTTCTATGTATCTATCTTCCTGTCATATCCGTCCATCACATCCATACATACATGCATTTTCATACAGACAGACCGACAGACAGACAGACAGACAGATGGAGAGACAAAGACAAAGACAGAAATAGACACACAGAGACAGACGGCCTGACGGACAGACTGAAAGACAGAGACGGATAGAGACGGGCATAGACAGACACCGATAAGGAGACAGACAGGGAGGCTTACAGAGAGGCAGACAGAGAGACAGCAGAAACGGACACGGACAGACACGGACGTGTATTCACATCTGCATGTATGTATATACATATATGTATATACATATGTAAATACGATTGTAACTGATTGTATGTGTGAATGTACCAGCGCGCACACGCACACACGTGCACACACACACACACACACACACCACTACCCAGAACCGTCTTCTAAATATTGCATTCCCTATATATTGGAACCAGTACTAAGCGCTGGAGAACTCCTAGACATTATGACTTCTTTCCAGGAGTATTTGAATAGAGGTAATTAGTTGTCATCGTAGTAGACATTGCAGTGGCAGCAGCAAAAAGTATAAGACAAACACCAGGACCGTGAATACAGGTACTTACCCGTTTGCTTCATAGGGCAGAAACCGTGGGAATAGCCTTCGTCCACTGCTGTTGCCCAAGACAACACGGCAGAGTAGATTAGCTGACTCAGACTTCGGCAATATGCTGCAAATCCGGATGCTCTCCGGAGAAATGGTCGTAAGACTTACTCTGGAAGAGCTGGAGGAGCTCAGTGACGTGCGGAGCCTCAAACAACGTTTGAACCAGTTTCACGGTATGGCAACACGGTTTAGACAAAGGTTCTTTCTCCACGGCGAGATTTTGGAAGACACGGCCAAGTTGGAATCATCCATGGACCTGATGCTGGTTCTCTTGCCGCTTGCTGACGTTTCCCAATCGCAAGTCGACGATCTGGTAGCCGCTGCTGCGCGGGGTTCCATGATCGAGGTTGAATCCATGCTGCAGTTGCCACAAGATCCAGACTTGCCTGACTCGCAAGGCCGTGCAGCTTTGGTTTATGCATCCTACGAAGGCCATCTTGAGACTGTCCACTTGCTGCTGGAGGCCGGTGCCAACAAAGATGTGGCAGACGACGAAGAGGTCACAGGTTTGAACGCTGCATCCATCGCTGGTCATGTCGAGATCGTCCATCTTTTGCTGGAGGCCGGTGCCAAGAAGGATGTGGAGAATGTCCACGGGCGCACAGCGTTGAACAATGCCTCCCTCGATGGTCAAACTGAGATCGCCCGCTTGCTGCTGGAGGCCGGTGCCAAGAAAGATGTGGCAGATATCTGCGAGCGCACAGCATTGCACAGCGCATCTCTTGCTGGTCATGTCGACATTGTCCGCCTGCTGCTGGAGGCCGGTGCCGAAATTGATGCGGTAGACGAGGATGGGTTCACAGCGTTGAACGATGCATCCCGCGCTGGTCATGTCGAGATCGTCCGCTTGCTGCTGGAGGCTGGTGGCAACACTATACTTGGCCTGGGCACACAGCTTTGATCAGGGCAACCGCTGCAGGTCGTGTCGAGATCGTCCGGCTTCTGGTGATGCAGTTTGATGCCGAAAACGACGTAGCTGAGAACGTAGCCCACACAGACTGGACCGTCGCAGTTGCTGTATGCGTGGAGGGTATAAACTGGCTTCGTGAGGCTGATGCTCCGAACTGGTCAGTGCAATGACAACCTCTGTCGTTTTTTGGATCGACGTACACACACCGGTTGGTGTTTACGATCCTCCAACAACTTGACGGTCCATGTTCTGTCACGTTTCCGGGATCGTTTCATTATAGCCGCAACACAAGAGCCCTTTTCGATTTCGGTGGCTCCCTATGTTACAGATGAAGCCCTACACCCACAAGTTAGAAACGTCAATCCCACACACCGACGCGAGGTAGTATGCAATCTGTGTGTGGCAATTGAACACATCCGCATATTTACGCGCATCGTCACCGTATGTTTTGAGGCTGTGCTGGCAGTGACAGGTATGGCCATGCACGGGAAACTGCAGATGACAAGCAATCCTAAAGGGGCACTGTTATCTGATGGGCAGGTCTGGGGTTGAGGGTGGGTAAAGGCTCTTTGTCATAGTTGGGTAACATTTTACATTTTTATGGGTACTTAAACCCAGCAAGGAATAAACATGTCCATGTGTAATCCTATCCCAACCTGGAACTAGGGCAGGAGGCTGGTGGTTCAGATTCACAGGCCGCCAACGGTTCTGACAAAGGGGGTTACTATCATCCCAGAGACTCCAATACCCCTTAATTAGGGAATATTCCTTAAATCATATTAAGGATCCTACTATAATTTAAGGTATATTCCTTAATTAAGGGATATTGGAGTCTCTGGGATTCCTATGATGACTGCGACAACGTCACCGTCAACACTTACACTCAATGAAACCTGAACATCTTTTCTCGCTCACTGAGTAGAAAGCTTTGGCCGAACATGATATGGCTCTACACACGACAGTGCGCATTTTGGTATGGATGCAGGCTGGCTGTCAGGTTGTATGCATGTGCATGTATGTATGTTCGTATGTCATGTAGGTAAGTAGCTGGCTAGTCATGAAAGCCACACAAATGAAGTCTATACTGAGCGTGACAGTTCATGATTGAGTTGTCTTGGTTTGGTCTCTGCTTTGAGTCCTCTAAGATGCAGGCCTGGATAAACTACCCAAAACTCTAAACCCTGGATAAATTACCAATGCTATTCTTCCTGAGGCCTCCTGTTGTCAAGAAGTATACACATATGCCCCTACCAAGAAACCCTGTTCTACTTATTGAGGGCCTCTTGTTTCTGCAGAGTCAGGAAGAGGCCAAGAAAGAGGCAGCGGACATCATTTCGAAGAACGGCAGACCGTCTGCTCAAGTGGGCGACGATGAAGAAAGAGGAGTGCGCCTCCTACCATCCAGGGAGGCCCAAACTTGGCATTTTCAGACTTCAGTCATTGAAATGGGGGGGAGGTAGGCCATCGCCACGCAAGTCAAGGGCAGGAGATGCAGGGGGAACGTTAGGGGTGTGTTTTGGGCGTCAGGCTCACTGCGTCCACTAGCAGCGAGCGACTGCTCCACGATCAAAAGGGATCCCAAATCGAACCGGAAAGGGTACCCAAAACGAATCTAGGAAGAGCACCCCAAAGGGACCCAGGGCTGGAATGTTTGAGACATGGCGTGCAGTTAGGGTGTAGGGTAGTCGGAAGAATTGAAAGTTGCAAGAGTTCTTGATCCATTGCACGGGCTTCTAGGACGCGCCCATCTTCCAAGTTTCCGGCTGCAACCAAGAGCTCGAAATCCTTAGCTCGAAAGCCTTTAAGCAACCCTATGAGCAAAGCCCTTGAAACGCTAACCTGCGCTTTGGAGTACCATACTTGCTTTATGTTGAAAGGAACCATCATGAAGTACAAGTTTATACTTTGAATCCTTAGTAATTTAAAAGCCCAGTAACCGAAGGGTGATGCTCTATAAGCCTATTGCGCAGGAGTCTTCGTGGATGAGACCGCATGCTCTCGATGCTACAAATGTGTCGAGGTGGCCTCCTCCACCTTTGCTGTGCACAGGACAGCGGCCATTTCGGATTCGGATTCAGGTACTAAGTTTACGGGAGAAGTGGGGTAGCCAGGGTGCAGGGTCTATAAGGTAGAGTCCCCGGCTTTTCTCAACCCCGCTGGAATGTGAAGCTCGCATGAAGTGAACATGCTTCAAGGGTTTCGGGAAGCGGAAGCAGAGACTCCTCCAATCTGGAGGCTCTTGTGGCGCGACTTGAGCTTCAGACGAGCCCAAATCCTACCAACAGACTGGCCTCCCTGAAGTGCTGCAGGGAAGTCGGGCGGGGGGAGCCAATATCGTGCGTAGCAAGTGAAATACGAGGGATATCGAGTGATGGCATAGTTGAACCCCCTTCAAGAGCCCTGTCAGCCTTATATGATGTGCCCCCACGGAACCCGCTCTGATTTTGAACCCTGTAGCAGCGCATGCGGCAGCGCACTGGATCTCCATGGGGTAGCAGGGGCTTCGGTCCTGACACACCCAAAGGGTCCTAGGTACTGTTATGGGGGATACCTCCCCAAAGCATAATAGTAATTCCTAATATAGAAACCCTACATTCTACTATATCGGTACTTTGGGGAGTACAAAGTGCAGTCCGGACAGGGTGCTGTACAGGGGCCGGAGTGTTCAAATCAGTACTGCTACTCCTTTGCTACCAAAAGCCCAGAACTCAACACCCTACCCCTTTTTTGGGATACCTAGTTTTATGGTTCGGTTCTATTATTAGACAAGTAGGCACCTTCAAAAAGGGGTAGGGTATGACCCTATAGGTAGAGTTTCCCAGAACCCTAAACCCTAAACCCTAAACCCTAAACCCTAACCCTAAACCCTAAACCCTAAATCCTAAACCCTAAACCCTAAACCCACAAACCAGGAGCCCAGAGCGTGGCGAGAAGGCGCATGCGGTGGTGCAGGATCGGACAGCAGTTTGCAACCGTGTTTTGGTTTGCCCTATGCCTCCAGGGACCTTATTATGGGGTAGGGGGTCTAGGGCCCTAACTATGAGGTCCTTGGAGGGATAGGGTTGGTGTTTGGGTTTGGCAGGTTGTTTGAGGCAAGGTTTGGCGTTTAAGGTTCTCTAGGATGCCCAGTAGTACCCTTATTCCCTTTTTCTAGTCCTAGGTTCCTTATAAAGTTACCCAATACCAAAAAGAGAGGCCTTTTTATCCTTAGGTTACTGGGAGTATCCTAGGCAGGTTGTTTGAGGCAAGGTTTGGCGTTTAAGGTGCTGGAGCTTGGGGTTCAGGGTTTAGGCTTCAGCGTTGAGGGTGGAGTGTCTTCAGGGTACCTAGAGGGTCATACCCTAGCCCTTTTTTGGGATACCTTGTTTTATGGTTAGGTTCTATTATATAGACAAGTAGGTACCTTAAAAAGGGGTAGGGTATGACCCTATAGGTAGAGTTTCGTGAGGGGACGGTTATACGGCTATACGGATGTAGCACATGCAGGCACTATGGACCAAGAAAGTATCGCCTTGTTGCAGGAAGCATGCGTTCTTTGGACGACACACGCTGGCATGCAGGTGAGACTGGTTTAAGTTGTTTGCCTGTGTAAGATCTAAACTGGCGATGGTGGTAACCATCCTGTCCGTGATAATGACGAAGATGACGACGATGGTCAACGCGAAGCTCCAAGTATCGAAACCCTGAGCTATCCCTAACAACCCAAAAATGAGGTTCAATAGCAATACACGCTGCACCCAGAGACCCCCTTTACTTTCGGAACAAATCTTAAATGCTTTAAAACGGATGCAGGACCCCTCCGCCCTACTGTATACTTTCACGTACATTCCGATCGTAGCTAAACCAGTATTGTAAAGCAACCTGGTACAGCAGTCCTTGTATTCACCCTTATACTAATCCTCGGAGTTTCCCTAAATTAAAGCTACCAGAATGACCTTCAAAGAACTCTGTTCCCCCAAACCCTAAGCTTTGCTCCCCTCAGAGCCCTAAACCCTGTTCCCCCAAACCCTAACCCCTGTTCCCCTAAACCCTAAGTGCTCTGCTCCCCACCGAGCCCTAACCCCTGTTCCCCTAAACCCTACATGCTGTTCCCCTAAACCCCCAAACCCTAAACTCTAAACCCCAAACCCTGTCAGGTCTTATTGTACCCTTATAGTACCCTTATAGTACCCTTATGATACTCTGATCGTACCCTTATGGTGCCCTTTAAAGGGATACCCTAACCCTCTTCCTTGAGCATGGGACGAAGGATGCCGATGCCACGGAGATCCTGGAAGCAGCGGCTACCTGATCGAAGATTCCCAGTTCTAGCAATCTGAAGCAGGGTTCCGGGCCGCGTTTTCGAGTTTTGAGAGGGGTCTTTTGGAGTTTCTGTAGCCTGTTCTAGGGCTTTAATAGGGTTGGAGAAGGTTTCATAAGTTTGCAGCTTTGATCGCCCTTTATAGGGGTTTGAGAGGTTCTATCCACGACGTAGCCGTCTGTCTTACAGTTTTGGTGAGTATGTATGGGACTCACCAAAAAAGACAGGCGAGTGTCTATCCTGGATATTCTCTTGAACCCTAAACCCTATGACACCCTACCAAATAAGCAAAAACCCTGAGGGTCCATGTACTCAAATAGCATATGCTTTGGCCTTAAAGTAGTAGTCCGTATATAGGTACTTTGGGGCCAATGTATCTCCTATATGAGTACATGGACCCTTAGGGAAAGTCACCACCCGATTAAAACAAAATTTGCGTTCTGCCGTCAACGTCGAGGCTGGGTTATGGGTAGTTTGGTTCAGGGCTTTCCTTACTTCTGAAGAACCTACCTTTCTAGGGTTCCCTATTATGGTTTCCCTATACAAGTCCTTAAAAAGATAGGTTCTTCAAAGTTTAGGGCTTTGGGTCGCCGCATCCGTTCTTGCATTCTGCATCTGCCCCCACAAGCCCGAAAATTCACAGCCTAAAGCTCATCTTGGCCCAAGTGCCGAAGAAGGTGCGGTCATGTCCCTCGAGGGCAATCTCCTTCGTGAAGAAGGAGGACGACGAGATCCCAAAACCCTAAGCTTTAAACCCCGAAACCCAAAACCCCTCAACCCATAACCGCTAAACTCTTAAACCAGCCTAAACCCTAAACAACCCCCAGGGGCGCTACCATAGATTAAAAAAAAAACCCTAAACAATCCCTAAACCCATAAACCCCTCCCAAAGCCCCTGAACCCCTAAACCCTCGTGGATAGATGCTGCTGGGCCGTGGTCTCGGGGTGAGAATTCTTAAGCACCACACTCTACAGATACTATCAGCACGGAAGCCCTAAAGGCTATAGAAGCCCCACCTGGATCCTATAAAGCCTTCCGTTTTAGGTTCCCTATTGTGATTTCCTTATCCTTAAAAAGAAGGTAGGTTGTTTGGGGTTAAGGTACGCCCTAAACCCCCTAACATCCTGGTGTGGCTTGGGTATCCACGCAGTCAGAGTTCAGATTTCTTTGCACTGCCTTCGCCAGATCAGAATTCGCAAGATAGATAAGATGCGGCACGTATGGTTTAGGCTTTAGGCACGATTTTGTTCATATTCGCCTGTGCATGCCTGATGATGTACTGTAGTGCCAGTGTGTAAGAATGGGTGAGACACGAAGCATTGTCTCTGCGCATGTTCGAAGGCGCAGGGCAACGTTCTGGATTGTACGAAAACATACATATTCAAAGATGTATGCACCCTTGCATGAATGTGCGCGTGCACATGTGCACCATGCAGAATACATGTGCAGGCACATGCGCGTACATGTCAGCTTGCGCGGCATTTCAGCTAAGTCGGCATTCAGCTATGTAGGCGATCATGTATTCGGCTGAATTCATTCACAAACACCCTGGTCCATATTCCGTAAAAATTCACAGACAGGACGTGCCGCTGCTAGATCTGGCTATGCGAGAGTCTGCAACCCTGGCGCACACCTCGGGTGTTCTGCGCGGACCCTGGGAGATCTTCCAGGAGTACGTCGTTGAGGACATCGTGAGGCTGGGGCCGCTTTACCTAGGGGGACATAACCTACCAGTACCCTACCCCTTTTTTAGGATACCTAGTTTTATGGTTAGGTTCTCTTATATAGAAAAGTAAGTACCTTGAAAAAGAGGTAGGGTATGACCCTATAGGTAGGGTTTAGGGACCCTCAAACACTAAACGTAGAGGCCCAAAAAGCACATAAGCATAAGCATTTTATGGGGATATCGCTACCTTATCGGCCTTCCTTGTAAAGGGGGTTTATGTGGGATATCCCTACCCTTCCTTTTGCTTACGTGCTTGTTTGGGGCCCTAAAGCTTAAAACATCTTAAAACTATGAACCCTTTACAAAACCCGAAACCACAAGACAGCCAGCAGGCCTTTCTTATCACTCTTTCTGCGTCGGCCTTCTACTCTTTGCAAAGCTTCGGCACCTGTACAACACACCTTGGTTTTACCACATGGGAAGTCTGAATTGCGCCGAAGCCGCCACTGAGCAATATGCCCGACATCACAACAGACAGCCCTCTATCGCTTGCGGTTTTCCATAGTTAGCCTGTCTTCAGTTGTCTGGATCTTAGTCTTGGTCACTGAACCCTAAATCGACCTTCACATCCTCAACTGGCCCCACCTGCTTGTCTTGCTGGGAATGCGCAAACTGAAAATGCGAGTGCTTGTGAATCCCGAAGGGTCCCTGGTCCCTGTACCAAGCAGCATATATGTTGGTCTTGCAGTAGCCCCGATACACATACTTTGGGGCCAGTGCATATACTTTGTGGAGGGAATTCCTGCGCTTGAAGCTGCTGAAGAACCTGGAAGCTCCACATATACTACCAGTATGGAATTAGGTCCCAAAAGACCATCCGCATTATGGCTTTGGAGGCTGAATTCCTTAATGGCAGTATATATGGACCCTCTAAGGAGACCCACCATTAAGCACAAAGGCTTCTCCATAAACTTACGGTTGAGGGGTTTAGAGTTTGGTGTGGGATTTCGAGTTCAAGGTGGAATGTAAGAACCTGATGATAAAGAAACCTTGGGCCTTTATTCGGGTTCCTTGTACGAACCTTACTCTTTTGGGGGGTTCCTACATTAGGCTAGGGTTCAGGAATGGGGGAATGGATCCCTATTCTAGTCCGTCCCTATATAATCCCCAGTTATAGTTCCCATAACTCAGTACCCGATTCCCTATTAAGCGCCACCGAGATGAAGTCAGCTGTCTTGCCAACTTGGGCATGTCGCCGCCCTAAACCTGGACCCACATTCCAAACAGCATCAGTACCAGGAACCTGAGCCCCCAAATCCGTGAACCAGAAAGCGTCTAATCCAATTCTAGCCCGGTTTGGAAGTCAACATAAAGTGTGTCGAGAAGAAAAGCAGCGTGCAGAAACTTGCGTTTGGCATCCCTAAAGCCTGCTGTGGGTCATTTAACAAATAAAGCTTGCAATCATCGTGAGTTTGACAGTATTATAGTAGTAAGTTTCGCAAGAATATATCCATGTCTTTGGAGGATGGATCTTGAACTGCGCGACTTCACACCGGCGAAGACTATGAGAGTGCCTGAGTTTCTATAGTGGCCCAGAGAATTACCTAAAGTTTCCTTTCAAGGGATCCTGAACGGGGTCTGTAAGGGATATATATATATATAGATTATATTTAAGGGTTCTATGGTATAGGGGTCTTAATGATTCCCTATACTATTTTGGGGGCTCCTTTTATTGCAAGACGGGCTTCCCGTTCACAAGTTAGGGTTTCTGCAGTAGGTGTAGTGAAGGGTTATCATCTTCGCATTACGATTCTGCAAAAGGGATGGTACCACTTTCTACTAAGTTGAGTGATGTGATTATCATTCGTAGCCTTGCTGTTGTTGTGTTTAATCTAGCCAGAAGCCGGTTTCAGTTTTGGGTTCTGGCTCGATTCCTCCTGACCTCACGGCACTGCCACGGAGCGCGCACTTTAAGCTCGCAAGTGAAAGTGCGAGGGGAACCTTCATTCCTATGTCAACCCTAAACCCTAAGTCTTAAACGCTGTATATATGTGTATCAATATATATATATATATATATATATGTGTGTATATATATATATATGTATATATATATATATGTATGTATGTATATATATATATATATATATACGCACCCACTCTCGCATGTTGCCATTGTTTTTTCGTGTTACTTTTAACGGTTTATGTGCGATTCTTATTCTTCTTGTTGCTACGAGTACTGTACATATCGATATTTATGTGTTTATGTAGTTATTCAGCTGAGGATGCTGAGTCAGTGGCCGAAATCGCTGACATCGCGGGTGAGATTTCTACTTCTGCAAGCGCCATTCCGGAGGCCTTTGACCGCCCTGGAGTCTCTAAAGAGCTTTAGAAGCCCGAAAGTTGCTACACAGTCTTGTGCTTAGGATCACTGTGGTAGTTGTAGCTTCGTAGTCGAGGAAGGAGTTTGGGAGATGATCTGAAGCTGCGTTCGGAGTGTTGCTTTGTTGGCTATACTGTAGCGGCTTGTTTCAATTTTGTTCTTCGACGCCTATGTAAGTATTGCGTACATAATTCTAAACCAAATCTCTTGATCCCTGAACGCCAGCTGTGACAGCTCGACTTCGCCCGTACGTACGGTCGAACATATATAAGTTGCGAGAGTCGAATCGTGATGAGAGTTTCGGGATCAGGGTTCAGAGGATACAGAAACGCTCCTACCAAACGCAGCACTCCCACTGTGCACTGCTACTCTTTCCGAGCCTTCGGGAACAGACTTCCATCCTTAAATCCTCAACTTTCAAATCCTACATACACATACGTGCATATACTCGTATATATATATATATATATATGTATATATATATATATATAGACAGGTCTGTATCTAAACCCCATAACAGGCTGAAGCCCAAACCATCCCTACCCTAAACTAAGCCCCCAAAGCAGTTCCTTTTTGGGGTTCATATTTGGAATGTAATGCAAGGTAATTACTTTGGGGCCTGTAGCCCAGATCCTCTCTGTCAGGGTGTTCGCGCGCGACTCTGGAAAGGCATCGGCGGCGACGAGTCTGCCGTGAAGGCCAGGGTTTAGCTAGGATGCCCAGTAGTTTAGGGACCCAAACAGCACATAAGCATAAGCATTTTATGGGGATATCCCTACCTTATTGGGCCCCATTATAAGGGGTTTATATGGGATATCCCTAGCCTTATTTTTGCTTATGTGCTTTTTTGGGTCCCTAGTAGTACCCTTTTTCTCTTTTCGTAGTCCTAGGTTCCTTATAAAGTTACCCAGTACCAAAAATTGAGCCCTTTTTATTCCTAGGTTACTGGGCATCCTAGTTAGGGTTTATTACGGACACTTCCGACAAGAGATCGCCAGTTCTCCCCCCTTGGCATAAATGGCATCAGGGGGAATTTAGGGTTTAGGGTTTAGGACGCCCGGCTGGAGGGTTCGAGGTGTTACGGTGGCGTCATATAGCGGCTTTAAAGAATCGAAGCGGGTGCTCTTCAGAGGGGTCTTAAAAGAGTTAGTATAGGGATGTAGTACAGGGAGCTTTTAACAAAGAACGTATTTACCGTTAGCTAACGGCAGGGCGTATAAGGGTTAATTACTCTAATTGGGGTGGTTCTAGAGTACTAGCTACCTGAGCAAGCGAAGCACACCAGCTATTCTACCTTTGGTTCGCGTTGCACGGGTTTCTTGGGGCAGAGTTTAACAAGGACTGGGATTCAGAAAGTTAAAGTCCTACTACCTACATTGTTGGGCTGGTTCTCAATTAGTTCGCTCTGCCTCAGTAGCACCTCTCTTGGTACTTTTTTTCATGGGTAACCCTAAAGGTCCATGTAGCCAAATTGTACACAGGTTGACCTTACCGTAGTCTGGGTATGTTGGGGCTAGTGTATGTAATCTTTTGGTACATGGACCCCGGTAATGCAGAACAAGACCAAGCCTTCAAAAGACCCATGATCGACCTAATGCACCTCACAAACCGTAAGCCCTATGAGCTGGCATCTGTAAGACTTGCATCGAGGTGCGGAGACATCTACCCCTAAAATCCTCAAGCCGTGAGCCCTAAATCAAATCGATCTGCAAACAGGAGCTCGAGGCAATGGCACAGGGCACTGGCGAAGCATCATCGCTGTCGCGGAACACGCTAAAGGCCGAAGGGGAGGGTTGGGGATTTTACGGTTTAGGGTTTGGCATACGATATGTAACAAGGTTCCATCATGACTGTCTGCGGGTCTACCAGTCTACGACGGAGGGCAGGTTATCGGCGTTTGGTTGGTTCCTTGGTGTGTGCAAATTGATGTGGATGAGGCTTTGAGTCAACCCTAAACCCTAATCCCTAAACCCTAAACCCCAATCCCTAAACCCTAAAACCCTAAACCCTAAGCCCTAAAACCTTAAGCTTTGAGTTTGGTTGTTGGCATTGTCTTGGGCATCAGGTCTTGGTTAAGGGCGGTGTAGGGTTCTAGGGTTTTGGGTTTTGGGTTAAGGGTGTTTGGGTTTAGGGTTTAGGGTTGACTATAAACCCCAAATCAACCCAGCTTCGTCAACAACTTCCTGTAAGAACCAGCCGTAGAAAGGTAGGTGTTAGGTTTAGGGTCTCGGGCATTGTCAAGCAGGGCTTTGGGCGGATAGGTTTGTTGTGGGGGTTAATAGGGTTAAATGGGTTACATAGGTGTTTGTATAGCCATGCGTGTTGAATATGAAGCTTGTTACAGGGTCCGTGCGACTTCTCCGTCGGGTTTCTACCAGGCCACACTGACAACCCGGCTCAAAGCATCCAAGAAGTTATGCAACGTACTTAAATCGTATCTCCCTTCATTCAAGGAATCCTAGGTACTGACATAGACACCATCTTTCCATACTAGCTATTCTTGGAATGGTCCTCTGAGCCCCAGAGCACGAAGTTCAAAAGCTTCAACACCTCAAGCCCTAAAACCTTGAATCCCCAATCCTAAACCTGTGCCATAGTTGGGTAACATTTTACATGTTTGAGAGTACTTAAACCCA